TGTTTTAGTGCACTTCCTGCAAATATGGAAAAAAATAAAGGGTCTCAATTAAATATGTGCAGTGTCACATGGTTAGTGAAAACTGTCACATGACCAGAGCAGTTGAATTCCTGTTTGCACCTTGAAAAGAGGATGGCTGCATCAAAGCTCCGAAACAAAAGGCTAGTAAAGTACGTTAAAGAAATGACAAATATTTTTGATCCACATTATCTTTAAGGTGTCTAGTATTAATATATGAACTCACAATCATTCAGTTTTGTTGAGTGTGGTCATAGAATGAGTAAACATGTTGTGACCGGTGGGATAACAGTGAATTTAGGTATACATATAAATCCAACTGCAGCTGTTAGTGAAGGCTGCACTAAAATGTTGCAATGATGAAATATTGCACTAACTTAAACGTTTAAATGTTACAAATAGGTTACAATATTGATGTTGTAATACTGGCAGCACTAATATAATGATATATGTGATATATGTTACAAAAAAGTAACAATTTTGAAATACGTTGATGGTTGTATTTTTTTGTAAGTATTCCTATATTCCTATCAATGTTGCATAAGGGTTTTTTATGCATAATAGTAACCCTAGAATGTGATCAAACAGTTTAAAATAGCTGGGCTAAGATATATAACAATTTTTATGACTGCAGAAATATGTTAATTCAGTATACACATTATCCCACCGGTTACAATTGTGACTGACCATAAAATAAAATTTTTCACACACTTTTCCAAAAAAAACTAACAAAAAAAACAATTATTGATTATTTCAAAGGGTTACTAATGACGCATCATTTGGATATTTTCATGTCTGGGAAAAATTTGGGATTAAACAGGTTAAAATGCGTTTTAAACATAAAGTTAAGTGGTTTTAATTACCTTTCATAATTTAAAAGTTTAGTGCAGAAGGATCGAATCGGTATCGATATCGACGATACTGCCTTGAAAAATATCGGTATCGTATCGAAAACAAAATAAGGGGTATCGCCCATCCCTACTGATGACAGCACACTCAGGGCGGGTCTAAGGTAAAACACCAGTGTCAATCAACAATCGTGGGAGGGGCCTGGGTCTGTGTGACATCACACAGACAGGCATCTGAGAACGGCTTGATATGAGAAAGGGAAATGATTTAACGAGATTTAAAAAAAAAGCACTGGGTGGATCTTTATCATTATAGGGTGGTTGTGTACACACACTGTCAACACACATTTCAGTTCAAACAACTTGTAAAAGTGTATGTCGCATCCGATGACCCCTTTAACTCTGAGAGCTTAGACTAAACAACTGTGAATAATTTGCCACCAAATTGCAAAGATAGACTACATGACCTTTTAAAGCAGACTCAATTGTTTAAAAGCAATTATAGTTCAAGCATGGCTATTTCCAATCTACCGCATCGATTTAAAATTATGACAAGGGCTGGGAAAGTGCATTCACACGGACAGGGTTTTGTAGCAACAAAGACACCGGACTAGGGATGGGCGATATCTTATTGTTTGCGATATACCGGTAAAAATTCTCCACACGATAAGAATTTGTCTTCCCGCGATAATAATGATAAAGTCAAGTTGTTGACATATTTCTGTGTGCGACTGTGTGGAGTGACGTGAAGGAAGGCGGACGTGAAATTGAGCAGCTCCTTCTACAATCTGGAACAGGTTTGGATAGGGCTGTACAGTGCGACAAAAATCGGTCTGAGCCTTGAGTAAATGTACTACAGTAGCACGTGTGCGACACAGTTTTACATGTGTATGAGTTGTTTACAAACCTGTTGTCCAACAAAGATATTTTAATTTATTGACATGCTCTCCATATTAACTTCATAACATAGTCGAGTGTTTGAAATAACTTATTTTTGTGATCAGACGTGGTTTCGTATCACAGAATAAGGCAGAAATCATACTATTTTATAGCATTATATACAGTGATAAAGGCTATGTCGATTAGCATTGCATTATAAATATACGTTAAAATATGAATTAAACAGTCATTACATTAAGTGTGTACTCAGTAATGCTCACAACACCCTATTTTGGGTAAAAATAGGAAAGATAATGCTTTTCTATAAAGAAACAGGATTCCCTAAATTATCGTCATTGATATCGTTATCGCAATAAATATCAGAAATTATCGTGATATATTTTTAAGCCCATAACGCCCATCCCTACACCGGACATTATCATTTTAATGAGGTGCTGATTTCCAGCGCGACAAGTGACATGGACTGTTGGTGATGTGACGAAGTTGACCAAAGTTAAATTTTATGCAAATGAGTAGCGGCATAATTCAGTAAATACCAATGCAATTTGCATCTGGCTGACTTAAATGCAAGGACAGCAACACCAACTAAAAGCCATCAGCAAAGTGACTCACTGAAAGGTCACTAAAATGTTTTTTGAAAAAACAAAAGCTTAAAAAAAACAATAGTTAACAAAAGAAAATGACATTTTCCGTGATGTGTGTTAGAATGCGGTGACATCATGAACAGAGTTTTCGCATGGTAATGGTTGTTTACAAATATTGGGTATGCGTTGGAATTTGACATACAGGAATTTGACAGTGATGGTTATTTTTTTAACAATTGCTTATTCTACCTCGTCATCTGTCCTCATAATTAAATGGCTTTTGTAGTGATGGGCGCTTTCGAAACTATGCTTAAAACATTTACGAGTCTTTTGTTTTATATTTGTGGTTCAGAGTTTGTTTTAGAATTGCCAAGTCACATGGTTTTAGCAAATGAGGCTTTGGCATGTCAGTTTTGAACCTTGATGGTTTCAAAACATTTGCTAGATGACATTAATCTGGTAAATCGATAAAAGAGTGTTAATGGTTTTTAACCAAAAATCGTGTCAGTTTTTTAATTAATGAATTAATTTTAATACTTGCAGTGTATAACAGAATAATGTATAAAACATTTGCAGTCACTTTGTAAAAGGTATAATTATACATGTTTGGCTTGAGTTTTTGTTGCATTTACACCGTTTTAACCAGCAGGTGTTTTAAGTACGTCAAAACAATTAATCATTTTGTGAGCAAATGGTTCAGTTGATTCAAAGTTTAGAAAAGTTTCTCCCATTTTTTTCACCAACCTGATGCTGTTCGACATCAAGTAAAAGGAACTTAAACTAGCACTGCCAACACTGCTCTTCTGTGGTTTTAAAAGTTCATGCCACAAAATCAGCGCTCATAGTCCAATAGTTGGCAATAGCCAACTATTGGACTATGAGCGCTGTAAAGCCTCACAGGACAGAAAGACTTCCTAAAACACGGTTGGGTTTTTCACTCAAGAGAAAATGAGAACCCATACCACTCACATACTCTGGTCTAGACCATTATATTAAAGGAAAGCACTTGACCAATAAAATTAGAAGGACCAGAACCTAACTGTTGTAAAATCATTCTCTGGAAAAGTAAAACAGGCTGGAAAACAGAGATTTAGCTTTGAACTATAACATTTCACAGTGATATAATGTCCCATACTCACAGTCAGCGGCAAGGAGCAAATGACGAAGATGAAAGTCATGCAGGCCAGCAGCAGTAAGTGGTCCATTTCCTCCTCTCCCTGTCCAAACCAGGTGCTCAGCCTCCTCTTTCGCCCAGCCGAAACCACCGATCCCCGACGTGTCAGCTGGCTCCTGTGCATGCGGCATAGGCTGACGATGACCGAACCATTGCACAAGAACACAATGGCGATGAGCAGCGCCATAAGCACGGCGTAGGACAGCGAGAAGGTCAGCGTTCTCCTCTCCTCATCCTCACCCTCTCCTTCTGCCTCCATCTTGATGAAGCACCACGTGCCTGGGCAGTACTGCTTGTGCCGTCCGTATCCAAAGAACGGCAGCAAGCAGAACATGAAGGTAAAGAGATAGATGAGGAAGAGGACGATCTTGGCGAAGCTGCGCCGCAAGTGTTTAGAGTAGAAATACGGGTGACTGATGGCGAGGCACCGCTCCACCGCCATTGCACACAGTATGAGCATAGAGGCCAAGCCGAAGAACGTCATGGCGAAGGCGAAGAGTCCGCACAGCCACCAATCTCCCGTAAGACCCACCAGGGATTTTCTTTGGGCATAGCAAATGAAAACCGGTGGACTGAGCAAACATGTTCCCAGCAGATCTGTCAACGCCAGTCCTGTCACAAGAATGCAGAAGACTGAAGACTTGGTGCGACGCTCTTTTTGGTGGACTCCCAGGATAGCCAAAGCCATCAGGTTGCCAACCACCCCAGCGATGAACATCACAGCACTCATCACCGGATTCCCGTTCACATCGATGTTGGTAATGTTCTCGCATGATTTGTTTGAAAGCATGTTCAGACAGTCCCGCCCTTGAACCTTTGTCTATCGTGAAAAACTTGCAGTTCCTTTTCTTTGAGGATCTGTAAAAACAGCAAGCATTTCTTAAGAATCAATATGTCTGTCACAGACCTCACCTACAGTTGCTTAATGACCACATGAAGTGCCCGATGAATGCTGTTTTCTTTTTCTGTGTAGATGTACTTCATATTAAAACAGGAAATCGAGGCAGCATATATTGTCCATTGTTGTAAATAGCCTGTTTGCTTTAGTTTGCCTCAGCTATTTACTTTTCTATTGCTTGTTAGTGGCAGGTGGCTTTACACAGAGATCCTCATTGTAGAAAGCATTTGTTTTGACAAAGATTTGGATATTCAAATACTTTATATGACTGAAATCAACCTCAGCACATTCTGTTGCAAAAACAAAATACATTTTAATAGTCATCTCAGGTAGAAACAGCTCCTTAACAAGTAGCAACTGCACACTTTCTCTTTTAGAGTTGTATGTGGTGATTATCTAAAGCATAGTTTTGTATGTGCAAATGGGTTTTTTAATTATTTTCTTTTTCAGTCAAACCTGAAGTAAACAAATATTTATCGTTTAGGTCACTAATAAAAAAGAAGCAAGTTTGGCAATGTGAACTCCTTTGTAAAAAGACTGATGCATAGGATGCTCTTTGGATCATACTCAAATCAAGCTGAAGAACATGATCCTCAGGTTTTATGCAAACTTCTGGAGTTCAAGTTTAATTCATTAAAGGAAAAAAAAAAAAGGGACAAACCAAATACTTCTGAAAATCATGTACATTTTTCAGTTGAACTTTTCACTGAAAAACTGCTTTGCTGATAATGCAATTTGTAAGTAATTGTTCTTTAAAATGAGAAACCAAGCATTTTCTAGTGTGGTCTCAGATTTTTAAAGACTAATGTACAACCAGATGTTTTAGAGACTCAAATGAGTGCAATATTTGTATGATTTTAATTATTACACGTTTGTCATGTTTTATGTATCACTTATCACAACGTATTACGGATGTTCCTTTGCTTAACAACTGAATCAAACTGCAATTATTTCACATCCAATAAGCTGTTATGAAAATAAAGCATCAATATTGAATCACAAGTCAGTCAGTACGCACCTGTCCACGGAGTGTCCATCACTGCTGCGCGCGGCCATTCCTCCCGACCACAACACTCACTAACCAACATAGATGGATTATTTCAGTCACTCCGAACATAATATTTAAAAGCGAAGTCTATATTGCTAGGTCTTCGGGCTTCCGTTTCTTCAGTAGAATTCTCTCGTTTAATTCATAAACAGGTTTTAGTTGAGTTAGTAGTCTATCCAGTTCTGGCCAACTAGCAGTTTTACGCGCAAAACAATTTTCGATTACAGCTCATTACGCTTCAAGCTAAACAAAACTGTAAGAAACTGTAAGACTCTCTTCATTCCTCCCGCTCGTTGGGAATGTAGACTGGTAAATCTACTAGTGAGACTTCCCTCCTGTGCTTGATAAAGTAGACGTGAGAAAAAATAGGAGGAGCATCTGACAACTTCGTGATCTGCATAACATAGGTTGTTAACTGACAAACAGATCAACGCATAGCTGGGTTAAGAATAATGTGTATTTAGAAAAATGTATATATATATATATATTCGTCATGTGACACACAGCAGCCACAGCAGCACTTATGTTTTATTTATTTTTTTCCTTTTTATTCGAAACATTCCCAAACGCATTAACTATATCACGAAATATGTTGATTCTCACCTATGTTAGTTGATCTATAGTGGGCGATGGTCAAAGTAGCCTAATAATGTAGTCTATTAACTATGCATAAAAACATTTTCACTGACAGCCTAGAGTTCAAGCACTCTCAGAAACGCCCATTAAAATCACTGAAGCTGTTTACACTGGGAAATTAATATCTTACTTATTTATACACACATTTGCACTTTGTTGTTTCTAACGAGAGAATTCGCAAGAAAGAGGCATTCAGTCAGCGAGCGAGTGAAGAAAACACCGGCATTTTAGCGATGACTCATCTGAACACCTCTGATTGGTCATTGCATTCATAAGCTCAACAGCATCGTGTGTGATTGGTTAATGCGCAGTGCTATAAAAACGCACCTGTCTCTGGCTCAGCGCCAGCCAGCGAACGCAGATTTGAATTTAGCAGCTGATGATATGATGCGCTGGACGATTTAATCATGCTGGGGTGATTGTATCAAATATTAAAAATATTATTCGGCTATTTTTTGTCTTTTGGATGCTGCATTCAAAATCCACTTGGCTCAGAAATCTGAGGGGGCACGTCCCCCCTCACTTTGAATGGGCATGAAGCCTCTATCTATCTATCTATCCATCTATCTATCTATCTGTAAAATGTTTTTTGGTTTTCAATGGAACACTTATTTTTAAGAGTCTATAAGAGACATGAGAATGTTTCCCTCAACCATACTGAGATTTATGTCCAAATTGATTTAATGGACTTGTGCTAACTCTTGAGATCTTCAGAAATATATGTGGTCAGACTGCGGTCAAAAATAACATGAACTCTTACTCACATGCTTTCTATAACTGTCTATAGACAGCATTCAGACTGTATTATCGTCCATTAATGCAAATGAAAACAACTCGAAGTCTGAAATGAGATAATGTTTGGGTGCATCTG